ACTCCCGACCCGCAGCCCCCTGCCAGCCCAGCCCTGCCCCCCCCAGCTCTGCCGGTGCCCCTCACTCCCGACCCGCAGCCCCCTGCCAGCCCAGCCCTGCCCCCCCCAGCTCTGCCGGTGCCCCTCACTCCCGACCCACAGCCCCTGCTAGCCCAGGCCTAGGCTCCCCCCATCCCCACTCTCAGCTGGATGGCCAGTTTCTACAGCCAGCTCTGGGGGGGGAGTGGGGTCTAGTGGGTTAGAGCAGGGGATGGGGTGGGAGCCAGGACTCCTGGGTTCTCTCCCTGGCTCTGGGAGGGGAGTGCGGTCTAGTGGGTTAGAGCAGGGGATGGGGTGGGAGCCAGGACTCCTGGGTTCTATGCTGTTCACACCCTAAACTGTTCTCTCCGAATTCAAACGGCCTCGAAGAGTGAATCATAAACAGGAAACTTGTGGCTGGGGACCGCGGAAAATCTTGCAAAAGACAAAAGAAAGACTTGAGCAAGAAAGACAAGGAATCCCACAGAGCCTAGGTGGGCAGATGGAAACAGACCCGGCCTCCCTCAGCAGGGGATGCTGTGGGGTGGCGGGGCACTGGCTATGGGGAGCTCCCAACTATTCCAGGCCCGGCCTCCCCCAGCAGGGGGCGCTGTGGGCGGGGCAGGTGATTGGGGCGGGGCTTACGCAGGGGGCATGGCTTCCTGCTCCATGGGCGGGGGCAGGGGGAATTCCCCATTGGCGGGGGGATCCGGAGGGGGTGAGGGGGGTCCGGGCATCAAGGGCACTGTCCCATTGGCTTCCCCTGCCCCCTGTGGCGTGGGGTCACCCCCCTGTTCCCCTGCAGCCAGCAGGGGCTCCGAAAGGGGCCCCTCGCCCTTCGCCCCGGCTACGTCCTCCATGGCCACCGAGGACACCCGGGAATGGCGCTTCCCGAAGAAAGTGGTCAGCGTGGGCCGCCTGGCTTCGCCTGGCCCGGCCTGCTGCCCCCCGTCCCCAGCCTGCCCCTCGCCCTTCTCCTCTGGCAGGCTCACCGGCCCTGCCCACTCGCCGGGCCCCGCCCGCCCGCTGAAGCTGGTGGAGCCGGACCGGCGCCGCTTCCGACAGTGCAGCACCATGGCGAGCAGGGCCAGCACCAGGATGGCGACAACGACCAGCACCACAATGATGCCCACGTGCAGCTGGCGGGTGGGGGTGGGGGTGGGGGTCGGAGCCTTGGAGTTGGTCTTTTCGTTGACAGGCGGAGCGGGGGGTAGAGCAGAGGGTGAGAGTTCGGGGGTGGGCTGGTTCTCCCAGTAGCCTCCGGTCCGAGCGGTGCTGGCTGGCACGGTCCGGTTGTCCCCGCTCTGATCGATGCCCTTGGCCTTGGCGGGCTCCGTGGGGGCACTCTCGTTCTGCCCACTCCTGCCTGGCAGTGTCTGAGTCTCCTGCTCCGGACCGGGGCTCCCTGGGACCCTGCCCGCTTGCCCCGTCCGTCCCTCCCGCGTCAGATTCGTGACGGGCTGTTTTCCACCCGCTGCCGTCGCCCCGACCGGGCCGGCTCCCAGGGCCAGGGCTGCCTCCGTAGAGGGAAGGGCAGATGGAGACACCGAGACAACCGGCTCCTTCGTTGCCAGCGTCTGGGTGGTGCTGAGTTCCTGCTGTGCCGCGGTGGGTGGATGCCCGGCTAATTTGGCAGAGGGCTCAGTGCTGTTTCCGGCTAATTTGGCAGAGGGCCCGGGGCTGGTGCTGGCTAATTTGGCAGAGGGCTCGGTGCTGTTTCCGGCTAATTTGGCAGAGGGCCCGGGGCTGGTGCTGGCTAATTTGGCAGAGGGCTCGGTGCTGTTTCCGGCTAATTTGGCAGAGGGCCCGGGGCTGGTGCTGGTTAATTCGGCAGAGGGCCCGGGGCTGGTGCTGGTTAATTCGGCAGAGGGCGAGGTAGTTTCCAGACCGGTACCATTGTGCCGGTTTTCCTCACTGGTCCCTGAGCTGGCGTTCGCCTTCAATTCGAGTGTTGTTAGTGCACAGGCTGCAGCTACCAGAAAGAGCAGGAGCGTAGGCCGGATTTTCGGCTGGGGCCAGGCCCCTGATACCGCCATGGTGTCTGGGCTCCCTCGTCCTGTGCCGGGGCTCGACGGACGGGTACGGAGCAGAGAGGGGACCGAAGATGCGCCGGACGCAGAAACACCAGCCTGGGAGCAAAAGGGAAAGTGGGTCAGTTTAAGGGTCTCTCCCAGCAGGGGGCGATGGGGAGCATCACACCAATTTCTTCGCTCCATATTTATCCCAGGCTGCGCCGGAAGCCAGATTTAGAATCAAACATCAAAGGGGGAACTGAAAACTGCCAGATGCAGAGAGCACCAATGGGAGGAGCTGGAGGGGGCAGGGCTGGGCTAGCAGGGGCTGTGGGTCGGGAGTGAGGGGCACCGGCAGAGCTGGGGGGGGGGGCGGGGCTGGGCTGGCAGGGGGCTGCGGGTCGGGAGTGAGGGGCACCGGCAGAGCTGGGGGGGGGGGCGGGGCTGGGCTGGCAGGGGGCTGCGGGTCGGGAGTGAGGGGCACCGGCAGAGCTGGGGG